CTACAGGCTTGTCTCTCTTGTTATATCACTGTGTGATAAAAAATGGTTAATACAAGCAAAAAGTACCTAAGCAAAAGAGAGTTTAGCCCTTTCCTGGATTGGTTGTCCCATGCTTGGCTAGTTGAGGACAGCAGAGAAGGCAGAAAGGTTCCACACCTAAGAACAGAACTACATGCCATGTGCAATTGGGCCCTAATGGAAAGCTAATGGAAGTTTCCTCTAGATGCAAATTGACTCTAATTACACTGAGTCAAGGAAGCCAAGGGTTAAAGCCCTGTAGCTCCTATGCTAGGGCCATGATGTCACAATTAGGGTCAACCCCACCAATGCTGGCTCTCTCTCAGAAAAAGAAGAAAAGCCAGTTCTGTACTTAAGGAATGTACAATGTAACTAATGTCACATGGAGTTTGGCTCATAGACCCAAGTCAAACACTGAGAAAACAGTGCATGTGTTCAAACAGAAGCCAAAAAAGACCTTGATTATTAAAAATAGTAAACAGGGATGTACAAAATGGTGGGCTGCATTAGATTTCTGCATGGCAGAGATGGGATGAACCAGCTACACAGAATTTTTACAATGAGAAGATCAAACATTGCCTCTTTTTGCAGTATGCCAAGTGATTTCACCAAACAGGGAGAATCTACCTCTACCTTTTGTACAGTCACCTATGATCACAACACTTTACTATCTCACCTATAGTATACATGAGGTATAGGTGTTTACACTTATATAGAAAACTATTGCTGAAAAAGATGAAGAAATTGACTTGATATTTGCTTGACAACTTTCCTTTCAGATGTGCTGGATTACAGCTCCCATTATGACCAACCAGCATCACCAATGGGCACAAGCCAGTCGGAAATACCCTGTTCCAGGATGTAATGTTCCATTCCCCTTCCCTCAAACTTCTCCAAACATTTCAAAAGCATTGAGTATGCCCATCTACACTGGGCCATTCTGGCACTGCCCCCCCCCACCCCGGTTTCTTCTTTTGCACACTAACTTCAGACTGTGGGAATTCCCTGAGTCTGCTCAGATAGCACCATTTTGACTACCTAACGATTCATACTTGGGGATTTGAATTTGTTACAGGCATACAAATCTATACAGTGCCATCCATGTTTCTGTCCTAAGGAGCTTCCAATCTATGAATTAAATTGCAGACGAAAAGGAAGAAGAGGTAAACAGGGAAAGACTGTTTTGAAGTTTCCGTTCTACATCTTAGAAACATTGAATCATAGAAAAAAAGCAAGGCAGAAGGGGTCTTCCAAGCCATCTAGTCTGACCCCTGGCTCCAGCCAATTCCACTCATGTAATCCCCAAGTCTTGACATTTAGTTACACAGTCAGTTTGACTAGGCCAGAGGTAGACAACATGGTGTTCTCCAAAATTTTTTTGATTGCAACTCTCATCAGTCCAGCCAGCATGGCCATTGTTCAGGATTATGAAAACTGTAGTCAAAGAAAGACACCAGTTTGTCTATCCTTGCCTGATGGCATGGGAACCAGGAGCCATGGTATCCATCTTTCTTCAACTACACTCTTATTCTGCCTGGGAGTTACCAGATATAAAGTAATATAGTAGTCCTGCATTTTCCATGGCAAGTACACAGCAGCCATTTAACAACCATTTTACCATGTATACAATGAATACACATTCATAGTATGTTCTATAAATCTCCCAGCTGTGTTTGCAAAAGCTCTTCTTTATCTATTTGGGAACCCTGAACGTGCAAAGTTTCTGAATGCATGAAGAGGACCATTCTCTGGGTATAGCTGTATAATGGATGGGAGAGACATGTGTTCAGCTGACCTTGTAATGAAAACTTAACTAATTGTACTCTTTCAAATCAATCCATGAACCAAAACTCAGTTATTCTCTGAAATTTGCACTTCTCTGACTTTTGCAATGGAATTCTCCAGTCAAAGAAATTTGTACAGCAATGTTTTATTTATTTATTTATTTAAAATATTTATATGCCGTCCTAAACTGCAAAAAGCCTCAGGATGGCTTACAACATGAAATAAATAAAATTCCCAGCCTGCACTGGTCACAATTAAAAACATAGAAAAAACCATATTAAGACTTATTAAAATATCGCTGAAATAAAAAGGTCCTAACCTGGTGCTGAAAAACAAATAACGACGGTGCCAGGCGGACATCTCTGGGGAGCGCATTCCATAGATGGGGCGCCACTGCAGAGAAAGCCCTCCTCCGGGTACTCACCCTTCTAATGTTCTTCACGGAGGGCTCCCGGAGAAGGGACTCTGCCGCCGATCTCAAGGGGTGGGAGGGCAAATATGGAAGAAGGCGTTCCTTCAGGTCCCAAGCCGTTAAGGGCTTTATAGGTCATAACCAGCACCTTGAATTGAGCCCAGATTTCGATGAGAAGCCAGTGAAGCTGGTAGAGGACTGGGGTTATGTGAGAATAATGCCCAGTCCCCGTCAGCAACCTGGCTGCTCTGTTTTGCACCATCTGAAGTATCCGGACTGTCTTCAGGGGCAGCCCCACGTAAAGCATGTTACAGAAATTCAACCAGGAAGTAGCCAATGCATGTGTCACTGTTGCTAGGCAGTCTTCCTCAAGGTAGGGACGCAGCTGATGGATTAGCCAAAGCTGAAGGAAAGCACTCCTCACCACCACTGTCTCTTGAGCTTCCAAGGACAGCTCCGGGTCAAGGAGCACTCCCAAGCTGTGGACCCTGTCCTTTAGAGGGAGTGCAACCCCATCCAGGGCAAGGTCCAGGCCACCTACCCAGGAGCTTGATCCACCCACCAACAGAACTTCTGTCTTGTCTGAATTAAGTTTCAGTTTATTGGCCCTCATCCAGCCCATTACCTTGGCCAGGCACCGGTAATGTATTAGGATAGAAATATTTGCATTAAGCAGCAGTGTGTATTTTCACAAAATTGTGTATAGGAAAGCATATATTAGAAGAACAACATATTTCCACACATTAAAACAATGTTCAGGGAAACACAACTTAAGACTGAAAAAACTATCAAAGTTCAGGGCAAACTGAAGGTCAGATTGTAAGAGTGAAAAACTGAAAGAAAACGAAACTGAAAGATTCACCCATCCTGCAGTCTATTGTAATATTGCCCCCTCACATGTACTCATTTTATACATGTAATGCAGTTTTTGAACTCTGAAGAGGGTTTTCCCAGTGTTCAAGTGCACCAGATTAGCTGTTTGCTGTACTTTAGGTACTTTAGGTGCAGCCCATCCTTCAGAATCATTCTTCTTTATGCCTTACACTGGAACTCCTGTGTAGACCCTGTGTCAACAGCACCGGCCTGGAGATAAGTCACTCATGTTAATAAACATATTGCTAACATAAATGCATTATTTATTCATTTATTTATCAGATTTATATCCTGCCTTTTTTTCTTTCAAATAACTCGAAGAGGCTCATATAATACTCATTCTACCGCCTTCAACCTTAAGATAGCCAAGGTGTAAGAGACAACAAACTGCAGAACTAGGACACAAAAAGTTGGACTTGTCAATGTTCTCCATGAAAGAAGAGGAATTTTGTCCCATCTTTTTCCCATTCCCAGTGTTGTCATGCACTTTTTGGCTCTTGTGCCTTGATGAAAAGAGAATTCTGACCTATACCGTGTCTCCCATCATAGTAGTGTGTGACAAGGAATGCATCTACCAAAACTCTCCCTTTAACACAACTAGACCACACACAGACACTCTAGATCCATAAGGAATTTGGTGATCCTACCTAGTCCCTGTGTACCTATCTCCCTGCCTCTGGGTGACCCTTTTTCCTCTTTGTTTCTTTTGCCTATACAAACATCTTCTGTCTGGCTGTGTATTGATTCCCCCTGACTTGCTCTGAACTGTATTTTTCTTGCTTATTCTGCTATGTCACTCCTTTCTAGGTTGTTTTCCTCTTTTCTAAGGATGTATTTTCATGACCAGAGGTAATGCAGGCACGCCAGTCACACAGGCCCCCAGATGAAAACTGATACCACACCACACATGCAATCCCAGGCTGGCATTTTGGAAACTTCAGCAAGCTCAGCAAGCTTTTCCCTCAGCTGTGTACAAAAAGCTGGTGAGTGTGCATTGCATTGGTTCAAAATCAGAGGGAAAGTACAAGAAAAAGAAATCAATACAAAGAAATAAATGCTTGCTTTAGGAGTCCCATAATCCTTTGTAGATGGTGATTAAAAGCAGGTATTAGATCTTTTCCTTGTTTTACATATAAGAACAAGATAGAACTCAAAGTCAAAATGCCCAGCGACTTCCACATACTGTGCTGGAAACTACAAATAGGAAATAATGAGGCTGAAGTGGTGAAACGGATACATGTAAGTCACCCAAACAGATAAAGAAAAGTAATTTCACTCTATATCCAAGTGCTGCAGAAGCCATAACTGCAGCATCTGACAAGCTGCATATTAATAGGGTTACTTCCCTCTTGCACACACAAAAGGTCTCAGTTAGAAATTACATCATTGTCAAGGAAAATTCTATGAGCTTTACATCTGATTGATTACTTCTAGAATTAGCACAGCTTATTTATAGCAACACTGAGGCAGACTAAAGCATGTATTTGAAATGTGAATAATAGTAATTATAGCCATTATCAAAGGGTGCTTTGAATCTCTCCGCCTTAAAAATGGGATGCTGATATTTCTAAGACAGCTCTAGAATTAAAAGAGAAAACAAGCTTCAGTTTTGTGTGAAGCTATATAGTCTTAAAATGCAGGTTGCTTCCCCTCCATTTATCTTTATTTTAAGAGAATATTTCTGTTCAGAGAGTTTTCAAGAAAGAGAAAAAGTAACATACACACTCTATACTATGCTGTGTCTTAATTTGTTCAGCATCATGATACCTTGTTCCGGTATTATTAGTTCTAATTTGCATACATCCAACCTTGTGCACTCTTTCTTTGCTGCCTTAGTTTCATAGGCACATGTCTTTTAAATCTGAGCAATCTCACATGCAGATGTCTGGAACAAACAAACATCCAAGCTTACCACATGTCCTACAGTTCGAAAGGCAGCACTGATGAACATCAATTTCCAGCGGTCCTCCACATTCTCTGGAATGGGGCTGTAAAGGTAGTATGCAATCAACACAACGGCAATCAGGAGGCACAGCGATTTGCCTCCCATCTTTCACTAAATCTACTTCGTTCAAGACTGACTCCCATTGAGCAGTCTCACGCAGTCTTCATAGTGGCAAGTCAGCTGACAGCAACAAAGTTAGAATGCTGTAAATACAGATCACGCCCAAGAGGTCAGCTCTGCTTTGATTGCTAGGAGAAAGGTTATGCTCCGGCAGAGGCAGAGGCAACACCCACTCCTTTTGCAAGCATTCAGTCACCCCACTGCACAGGATTACTTGGCTTGCTTATTTAGAGCTTAGGTTTCAAACTATCGAAGGGGAAAGCACACACACACACACACACACACACACACACAGTATTCTTGATTTGTTCTGTCAGGCAGAATCCAGGGTTCTAATTTTGCAGACTTAACAGGACAACTGGAAAATAAAGTGAGAGAATGTGGTGCTGTGGGTTAATTTCTGCAAGGCTACACATGAAAACTGACAGCATATTCAGGAGTAAGTAAACCCCTTAAGGCTCCATGTGGTTCTTAAACTCAATCTTCATCGCCATGGGGAGGAAACACATGCTTTTGCCTCAATGATTATGGGGCAGGGTAGGGGGAATTCAGACTTCAAGCCCCAGACCAGATTTCAAGCACATTTAGCCAAAGACCTCCGCTTCAATTGGTATAAACTTGGCTGCTCTGAAAGACTGATCAGTATCATTTTCATTCATTCATTCATTTATTATTCTGCCCTATTATTTATGTATTCATTATAGGCTCTCTGAGCGGTTAACAAAAGTTAAAAATACACAAATGAGAAAGAGGGGAAAAATAATGTAAGACAGTAAAACCACAGGAACTGCAACTGAATCGGCACAGTGCTGCAGGACAAAATGCATTATTTAAATTAAAGTTGAAAAATTAACTGTTAAAATACTGGGAGAATCAGAAGGCTTTCATCTGACATCGAAAAGAATACAGAGGAGGCACCAGGCACACCTCTCTGGGTTGCTCATTCCACAGCCAGGGTGCCACAGCCGAAAAGGCTCTTCTCCTGGTAGCAACCTCCCTTACTTCCTTTTGAGGGGGCTTCTTCCAGGTCAACTTTTGGCTATGGGTTTGAGTGACCCCAAGAACTCAGTAAGCTAGGGCCAAGGCTTACTTAAAAGCAGGCTTTATCGAAACAATGAGCAAATTAGTCCAAAAAGCCAGTATCTCAAAGGGTTTCACAAACAAGACACTTAAAATACTTAGCACGAACCTGCTGGCCAAGAGGCTCCAATCAGCTGGAATGAGCAGTCAGCAAAGCCCCTCAAGGGTGTTTGGTGTCGAAACAATTCCATCCAAGGGAAAATGGCTAGCCTTGATAGACAACTCATGAGAAAGGGGTTGACTGTTGCACAGGGACACAACTACACAACTACCTGTTTTCTTGTCAGCAATGTATAATATAGGGAGATTCCCATCACTGGACTCTGTGGAACATGAAGGTCCCCATCCTTATTAGCTGGCCACAAGTCTGAAGATGACCTTAAGACCCAAATAGATACATATCAGACAAGGAATTCCTTCAAATAACCTGGCGCCAAAACATGTAGGGCTTTGTTTCTTAATACTAGCAATTTGAATCAGGCCTGGACTTCAGGTGCAGCTGGAAGAGGACTGGCATAATATGTTCTCATAAGCCAGTCCCCATTAACAATCTTGCTGTCCTGTTTTGGATCAGTTGACATCTCTGGAACATTTTCAAAGGCAGCCCCACATATAGTGCATTGCAGTAATCCAAATGAGAGACCACCAGAGCAGGGGTCACTGTGGCCTGGCTCTGTCTGTCCAGGTAAGGTTGTAGTTGGCATATCAGCTTAAGCTGATTAAAGGTGCTCTGGGCAATCAAGTCCATTTGTGCCTCAAGTGACAGGTTTGGATTCAGGAGCACCCCCAAACTAAAAACCTTGTCCTTTGCGGGGAGTGCAGTCCCATCCAGGATAGCTTGACTATCATCCTGGACAGACAAACCACCCACTAACAGCACTTCCATCTCATCTGGATTGAGTCTCAGTTTGCTGGTCCTCATCCAATCCAATTCCATGCTCAGCCACTGATTCAAAGCAGCCACTGCCTCACTTGGGTTTGATAAAAAAGAAAGGTAGAACTGAGCATCATCTGCATATCCTTCCTTAGCAGTTTCAAGTAGATGTTAAATAGCATAGGGTATGAAATTGAACCCTGCTGTACCCTGTGGCATATCTGCTATGGCACAGAACAATAATTCCCCAGCACCCTCTTCTGGGATTGGCCGGTCAAGTAGAAGCAAAAGCACTGCAATGCAGTGCCTCCTCCCCCTCACCCAGCCAGCCTATCCAGAAGGATCCCATGGTCAATGGTATTGGAAGCCACTGAGAGATCCAGGAGAATCAGCGGGGTTGCATTCTCCCTGTCTTTCTCCCAGCAAGGGTTATCCCACAGGCAGTTTCCATTCAAAAACCAGACCTGAAGCCTAATTGAAATGGATCTAGATATAATCTAGAGTGCTTGGAAATGCTTAGCCATCACCCCCTCAAGGACCTTGTCCAGCAAGGAGATCTTGTCCACTGGCCTATAGTTGTTAATATCCTCTGGGTACGGGTTAGGCTTTTTCAGGAATGGCTTAATTCCAGCTTCTTTTGAATAGGCTGGCACCACTCCCTCTCTCAAGGAGGCATTTACAGCCTCCTGGACCCATCCACAAATCTCTTTCTTAGGTCTTAATGTTTAACTATTCATTAATGTTAAACATTAACAGTAATAATATTTAATGTTCATTAAAATATGCACATTTGGACTTTGGAACTAATTTACTCTGGGAACTCTCTTGAGTTTTCAAGAACGGAAATATTGATTACAAGGTGGGAAAAGAAGAACCCAAGAGAAAGCAGTAGAGCAAGATTTACCACCTCAGTATGGGTAGTTTCCCCACACACACCCATTCTAGTGAGCTGCAATTAAAAAAGAAACAGCAACCTTTGAGGGCAGCTTCTGTGATTCTGCTGTTGCTGGCAGCTGTTCTACCTTAACATTGCTGAACATAGTCCAGATTGTCTATGAAAAGCTCAGCAGATACAAAAGGGAAAACATACTGGATACTCTGGATACTCTGTCACCTACACATCATTTGCTGCTGATGTACCTAAGTGCACAGATCGCAGCATAACATGATGTTGTGGCAAGAGAGCAGTGCTGCAGAGCTAAGGCTCCCAGGGATGACGTATTAGTAGTGTGTGTTTTTGTTTTCACCCCCTTTGCAGGGATGCTAGGAGGTTCCTGTTCCCTTTGCAATTATCGCACTAACTGGGGGAGCAGAATGAGCCATATTCTGTATCTGTTGTAATGAAAAGTACTGTGGAAAGGCTTGGCCCTGAATGGGCAGTTAAGGCAGTTAACAAAGATCCTTAACTGGTGGAGGTAAAACTGCTAGAACTACTTGCTTGATCTGGATCAACACAGCTGCCTGTATGTTTTAGATTAGTTGTGAGGACATGGCCCTGAGGATCATCTGGTCTTCAAAGTTCTCCACAGAGCCATTGTAGCAGGATGAGAACTTCACAAAGTGAAACTTCTCTCTCTGAGGGGTCTGTCGGTAACCCTACTTCAGTATGGAAGGAATGGAAGGCCACAGGACAGGCATACAAGCAGCTAGAGCCCAAAATCTGAACAAACACAGGACCACGAGGGCTAATCTGAATATTGTTGATTTCCCAACACATTCTCAGCACATTCCAAAGAAATTAGCTTGAAGAAATTAGTGCTATCATTCCTTTGATTCTGAACTGTTTGGCTCTCTTACTTTTGGTTGCAACATTATAGTCTAATTAAGCAAATTCATGAAGCCTGGGAATTGCCCTGAGGGCTGTTCATTGTCTCTGCCCTACTTGGCAAATCATCTATGACTTATGATTCTTTGTCAAAGATAAGTTGGCTTCTTTATTTGACTTTGCTTGTGCAATAGGTGCTGCTGATGGCAGCTGGTTCACTTGCTTTCTTGTGCAGACCCCCATCTGTAAGCTTACCATCTGCTGCTGTGGATCACCAGAGGAGGCTTGGGTGTTACTATGTCAGTGGGGCTCCTTATCCATTGCAACTTTTTTTTGAGCTTTCTAAAAGTTCTCCACAGTGCTGAATGCCATCCCCAGAGCAGGCTGACCACCATGGAACACTCTGAGAAACAGTCCTCAGCCCATCAGCCCATGTCTCCGTCATATTCATTTGGTGATCTATTTATACTTGCCAAGGATTTCCACACAAGCACCTTCACCATGTCCTGCAGAGCTCTTTCCAATTCATCACATCAGCAGGGACAGAACATGAGCATTCCTGGAGAGGTGCTTGCATCGGTGAACACCCCTTCGGTAGTGTTTGGAGGCAGGACTGCATGAACACAGCTTTGGGGCAACCCCCTATGAGCAGGCCTGTGTTCACCCTGGTCCTCTAAACTTCAGCCACACTCTGCCTGAAAGGGAAGAAGCTCACCTTCAGGCAGGGAAAGCAAGAGGCAGAGGCCATCAACCTGTGCCATCAGTATTTCTGATATTTTAGTCACAAAGCCATGGACGAGGAGCAGACCTCAAAATCTGAAGCATTCCATTTAAAACTGTGTAAAATATTCTCAGTGCTTCTTTTCAGTAATGCCTTCAAAAGGGGTAAAGAAAGTTGATGTTTAAAAATTCTCATTCTGGGTGGAGGAGGGCGGTGCGTACGCTTCCCTTCTTCTGTGTGTGAGGCGGCAAAGTGGATTCACAGCTCCTTGCCTCTCTCCTTTACTTTTAAAGCACACACCCACACAGCACTCACAGGGACACAGTGCTCTTCTCAGAAACCTTGACTTCCTCTAGCAGCCCTTCCTGAAATTCTCATGTGATCATGAAATGTTCTCAAGGACTTCACACTGCAGAAAAGCCCTGTCCTGACTTGCAGTGTCATGGGCTCTTACACAAGCAGCCATTCCACTTTTTGGGAGGCAAATCTGTGAGAAGTGAGCCTGTTGTAGAGTGCTTTTGCATGCGGCACTTCCCCCCACCCCC